TAAGAAAAGTCATTTTTGAATCTACAACTACTGATTTTTATATTGATTTTATATCATGCTACTTTGCTGGATTTGTCAGAACAAAGAGTCTTCTGGTGGAGTGGTTAGGGTCTTCTAAGTATGGGATCATACCATCCGCAAAGACTGTTATTTGGCTTCTTATTTTCCTATTTGTTTCCCTTTTCTTTCCTTCTCTTTCTGATTGTCTGGCTAAAATTTCAAGTACTATATGGAATAAGAGGGGTGAGAGTGGGTGCTCTTGTCTCATTTCTGATTTTAGAGGAAATGCTTTCACTTCCCAACTGCTGTTCAGTAGGATATTGACTATGGGTTTGTTATATTTAGGCTTTATCATATTGAGGTATGATTCTTCAAGACTTTTATATTGAAGGGATATGAAAGTTTGCCAGAAATTCTGTATTAAAGAATTTTAATGTATTCTCTGCATGTATTAAAATTATTATGTGATTTTAAAACCACCTTTATTCTAATTCTGTGCTATATTGCATTTATTCATTGGTATATATTGAATCATTCTTCACCTCCCTGGAATAAACTAGCTTGATCATTGTATATGATCACTGCATTGTTGAATGTGGTTTGCATGTATTTTATTGAGGGTTTTTACCTCTTTGTTCACCAAGGATATTGGTCTACATTTTTTTTGTTTTATCCTTTTCCTGTTTTGGTATCAGTAATTCTGGCTATATAGGATGAGTTTGGAAGCATTTCTTCCCTTTCTGTTTTATGGACTACTTGAGGAGCACTGGTATTAGTTCTTTAAAGGTCTGGTAGAATTCATCAGTAAGTCTGTCTGGTCTTTTCTTTGTTGGAGACTTTTTATTACTTCTTCAGTATCATTGCTTGTTACCTGTTTAGGTTTTTTGTATCCTCTTGACTCAATTTTAGTAGGTCATATGTGTCTAGAAGTTTATCCATTTTCCAATTTATTGGAATATATTTAAAAATATTCCCCAATGATCCTCTGGATTTCAGTGTTTTCTGTTATAATGTTCTCTTTTTTGTCTCTAATTTTATTAATTTGGGTTTTCTCTCTCTTGATTAATTTGACCTTGGGTTGGTCTGTTTTGTTTATCTTTTCAAAGAACCAACTGTTTCATCCAGCTTTTGTATTGTTTTTTATTGTGAGATGCAGGTTTGAACTCAGAGCTTCATACTTGCAAATCAGGCACTCTACCTCTTGAGCCAATCCTCCAGTCCATTTTGCTATGATTATTTTGCAGATGGGGTCTGGAAAGCTATTTGCCGTGGCCAGCCTTGAACCTTGGTCCTCCTGATCTCAGTCTCCCAAGTAGGTAGATTACAGGCATGAGCTACTAGTGCCTGGCTTCTCTCTGATTTTTTAATGTAGGTACTCATAACTGTAAACATCCCACTTAAAACTGTCTTCACTCACTGTGTTTCACACATTGTGGTAAGTCGAGTTTTCATTTTCATTTGATTCTAAGAATTTTTAAATTTACCTCCTGATTTCCTCAATCACCCACTGATCATTCAAAAGTGTATTATTCATTCTCCAGGTGTTTGTATCTGTAGCTTCTCTTGTTATTGATTTCTAGTTTTATTCTATAATGATCTAATAAGATACAAGTTATTTCAATTTTTTTTGTATTAAGACTTTCTTTATGACCTAAGATACCTTTTTTTGGAGAAATTTCCATGAGTTGCTCTGAAGAATGTGCATTCCTCAGCTGTTAGATGGAATATTGTTTAAATGTCTTTTAAGACCATTTGATCTGTAGTACAGTTTAACGCTGAGGTTTCTTTGTTGATTTTTTTGTCTTGATAGTTAATGTATTAATGGGAGTGAGGCATTAAAGTCATCCACTCTTATTGGATCTGGACTTGTCTGTCCCTTATGTTCATTAGTGTTTGTCTTATGAAATTGGGTGACCAACATTTCATGCACATACATTTACATTCATTATAGCTTCTTGATAGATTGTTCACTTTTTCTGTTTTTAATTGTCTTTTTCTTTTAGATTGTTCTCTTTATTAATATATACTGACTTTTTTCTGTTCTGACTAATTTTGGCTTGAAGTCTGCTTTGTCAGATAATATAGTTACTCCTCCTTGCTTTCAGATTCAGTTTGCTTGGAATATCATTTTCTAGCCTTTCACTTTCAATCTTTGCCAGTGAGATGACTTTTTCTGCAGACAGCAAATAGTTGAGTCTCGTTTTTTAATCTGATCAGCTAGTCTGCATATTTTAATTGAATTAAAGACAATTTACCCCATGGGTATTATTGAAAGGTATATACCAATTTCTCCTCTTTTGTGTTTTTTGGTTGTTTTGTTTTGAATACTCTGTACTTTTCTTTCTTCCTTATTCATCTTAGAGACTGGTTTACTTGAGTTCATTTGTCTAATTCTTTACTAATTTAATTTGTTTGCTTGTTCTTTTAGTGAGAATTCCTCATTTTTTCCTCAGGTCACATAATTCCGTATATATTTTTCTTCCTCATCTATGTGTGGATTCCTTTTAGTATCTTTTACAATGCTGGTTTAGTGATCATGAATTGCTTTAGCTTATGCCTCTCTTGTCAGTCTTTCTTTTTCCTTCTGTTTAAAGGATAACTTTGCTAGAGACATAGTAGTTTTTGTTAGCAGATGTTTTCTTTCAGGGCTCGAAATGCATCATTCCATGCTCTAGGCATCATTACATGCCTTTAGGATTTCTGCTGATAAGTCTGCTGTTATTCTGCTTGGTTTACCTTTATAAGTAACTTGTGCTTCTCTCTTGCAGCTTTCAGTGATCTTTTTTGTTCTGTACTCTTGTCATTTCCACTATATATCTTGTGGAGAGTTTCCTTCCAGGTCATGTCTCTTTTGAGTTCTAAATTCCTCCCATATGTCCATATCTTTCCTTAGATTTTGGGAATTTTTGCTGTTATTTCACTGGAGAGTTTTCTACACCTTTAGCAGCTCCTTGGTTTCTTAATCATATACTAGAGGTCTTGAATGTTATGGTCATAATTCCTTGTATTTTCTTTATTACTATCTGAATGTAATTGTTCATCAACCTTGTCTTCAATCCATGATGATCTTTGTTCTACCTGATCTAATCAGTTAGTGACCAGTCCATTGAATTTTTTGTTTGACTTATTGATCTTTTAATTCCTAAGATTTTTTTTCCAATTTTCCATCTCTGCTGAATTTCTCATCTGTATCCTATATTGTCTTTCTTACTTGTTTATTTGTATCCCCTTTGAAGTCACTGATCACTTTTTAAAATTTGACTTTTGAATTATTTGTGTTATATTTCATCCACATCAGTGTATTTCGGATTCAGTTATTGAAGAGTTATAAACTGTTGGAGGAGTCATGTTGCCTTGCTTTTTCATATTTCTTGTGTTTATTTGTTGAGATTCACACAACCTGTAGGCTTTTGAGAGGGAATTCTATTTATGTGAGGGTGGTCTTACAGTACAGTCTTCCCTTCACGATGTGCCCTGAGATACCAGTCTGTTGTGTGGTGTTGAATTCACTTCTGAGTGGACTTTCTTGTGAAGTTTCCCTGCTTCTTCTATGGCTGTGATTAGTGGAATTTGATACAGCACTTCCTATGCCAAATCCTAAGTGATCTGCTTTTTCTAAGTGTTACAGGAGTGGGGTCCCTCTTCTGCTCATTTTGCCAGGTTGCTTAGACAAGCAAGTGGGGTTGAGACTGAACTGCTCCACACCTTTCTCTACTTTGTCTTTCTGATTCTCCAGGAGTTGAACAAAGGCTATTTTTTATTTTGCCATCTTAGCCTCCCCTCTTAGATCTCTTTTCTTTATAAAGTAGCCTACCTTGAATATTTTGCTACAATAACCCAAAACAGACCAATATGCTCTTGCATGTTTTCTGAGAAGTTGGATGTAATTCTTTGTTCTGCAGGTGATGTATTTTCATTTTTCTTTAGCTTCTTTCAGTATATTTTAGTTCCATTTGATTTCTGTAGCTTGAAAGTGATATGTCTAGGTGTTGGTTTGTGGGTTTTATTGTTTGTTTGGGATTTATGCTGGTTGGTACTTCTGAGCTTCCTGAATCTGTGGTTTGGGGTCTGACATTAATTTGGCAACATTTTCAGTCCATTTTGTTTCAAATATTTGTTCTGTGTCATTTTCTCTTCTCTTTCTTGTATTCATATTTCACTTTTATAGTTGTTCCACAGACCTTAATATTGTTATTTTTTTAGTCTTCCTTTTCTGTGCTTTTCAGTCTGGAGATTATATCCTCAAGCTCAGAGATTATTTCCTCTGCTATGCTCTGTCTATTCATAAGCCCTTCAAAAGCATTGTTCTTTCTGTTTACAGTGCTTTTGCTCTCTAACATATCTTTTTGTTTGTTTCTTAAAATTTCCATCCCAATGCTTACATAGCTCATCTGGTTTTGCATGCTATTAGACATTGTCTCTTCTGTCTCTTCAAATTTTCTACTTGCTATTAGGGTAGAGTGGTGATTTCCAAGCCTTTTATATGCTGATCCAGAAACCGTAGCTTGCCTTCTCTTTGCACTGTATATGAAGAATACATCAATATATAAAGACCATCTACATTTTTTAAAAAGCTATATATTGTATGGTAACTCATTCCATTGTTCATATGTATCAATTTACTTAACTATCTCTTCCTGAAAGACATTTAGAGTTGGTTTTCGTTGCTTTGTTAACTTATGCAATGTTGCAGGGAATATATAAATAATTCCTTTGTATTCTTATGCAAGCATTTCTGTAGGATAGGCTCTCAATAATGGAAATGCTGATCAAAAATAAATATTAAAAAAATTTGGATATCGTTTAAATTTTCATCAGATCCTGTCAAATAGCCCTCTGTGCCCATTTTCCTCATCTATTATCAGTAGAGCTTACTATCACTTATTTGCATTTTTCAAAAAAAATTTTTTTTCAGTACTGGGGCTTGAACTCAGGACCTTGCACATGCAAGGCAAGATTCTACCACTAAGCTACATCCCCAGTCCATATGTTTATCAATTGAATAGACAAAATACCTGTTTAATCAAATTTTTTTGGTGGGGAGTGGGACTGGGGTTTGAATTCAGGACTTTGCACTTGCAAAGCAGATGCTCTACAGCTTGAGCCACACCTCCAGTCCATTTTGCTCTGGTTGTTTTGGAAATGGAGTCTCACAAACTATTTGTTTGAGGCCCAAGTGAGCCTCGAACTGCCTTCCTCTTGATCTCATCCTCCCAAGTATCTAGGATTATAGGCGTGAGCCATCAGTGCTTGGTTAATCAGAATCTTTTGATGTGGTAAAGCATTTTTCATAATTTCACAGTTTATTTTTTCTAGACTGAATTGTTTTCCTTAGTATTCTATTTCTTTGTAGCCTTGGCATCTAGTACCATGTCTGGTGTAGATGAAATATTTTGTAAATGGCTTGTAGTGAAGTAACTAGCAAAGAATTTAACAATAATGAAGAAAAAACAATGTAATATCTAAGTTGCATATTAGGTTGTGTTAAAGAAAAGCCTATCTATTGGGAAACTCCCCAAAATTAGTTATTTTCCTAAACAAAAAGCTACTACCTAACTTCTCTCCTTATTGACTCTTGTACCATAAGGTGAGTTATTTTCTAGTAGCTTAAAAATGAAATCTGTATCAGCCATATTGAAAATACACTGTTCTGTGTTTTGAGACAGCTTTCTGAGTATAGTTCAAACTGTAAAATATTTTATATTATACTCAATTACTTTTTTATTTATTTATTTTTTTGGTGGTACTGGGGTTTAAATTCAGGTGCTCTATTGCTTGAGCCACTGTGCCAGCTCTCAATTTTGGTGTTAACTTGAATCTTAATTCTTATGTTTTCTTTCCCATTTCAGGTAAGACCATGAATTATGGCATTTCAGGAATGAAGTGAATGTCATAGAAACTAAATGATTTTTAAGTTATGTCTATTAATTTGACTTTAGATATATATATTTACCTCTTTAGTAGTGCAAGAAGTCTTTGTGGGAAGCAGAGAAGCAATCAGCTGCATTTAGTGTGCTCTCCTAAACATTACTGGAGGATAAGTCATATTGGTCTACAAAGAGGTTTTCATACAAGCAAAATAAGATGTAAATGGACAAAAAGTGAAGCAGATTCTTACAGTAACCACTGGTCCTCTCCAAGCAACCATGGTTTACATATTGGAGTTTTGAAACTTAGCACTTCTGCTCCCAAGGGACTTACAAAAGTGAGCATTCGTATGTCCCGAATTAAAAGTACTTTGAACTCTGTTTCAAAGGCTTTTTTTGGCTATCAAAATGAAATGATTTCACGTTTAAGTCAATTTAAGCCAAGTTCTCGAATATTAAGAAAAGTATCAGATAGTGGCTGGTTAAAACAGAAAAATGTTAAACATGCCATCAAATCTCTGAAAAACGGTGACCAATCAGAAGAGAAGAATCCTATGGAAGAAAAAATTGATGTTATAGATAAAGAAGATACAGGAAAACAAAGCCTTTTTCATTACACAAGTAGTATAACTACAAAATTTGGAGAGTCGTTCAACTTTTTATCAAATCATATTAATTCATATTTCAAACGTGAGGAAAAAATGTCTCAAGCAAAGGAAAATAAACATTTTCCAGACAAATCAGAACTTGGAGGTGAGAAGGCTGAAGAAGTGAAATCCAGTTCTGTACTCCCTGGCATCCTAACTGATCAGCCGGGCTCAGAATCTCCCATGCACACTGTGGACAAGCCTGCCAGTCCAAGTGGGATGCCTGAGGTTCTTCCAGTTTCCACTAAACAGAGCATTGCTAGCTTTCTTTCTCGTCCCACTGAAGGCGTACAGGCTTTAGTAGGTGGCTATATTGGTGGGCTTGTGCCCAAATTAAAGTACGATTCAAAGAGCCAGGCAGAGGAACAGGAGGAGCCTGCTAAACCTGAGCAGGCTATCAGCAGAGACAAAATTGCAGAGGAGAAAAAGCACTTATCTCTTCAGCGAGAAAAGGCAAGTTGTTATTCAGCATGGTTTTATATTGTATTTATTTTTGTCAAATTTATGTTTCTTTTCCTAAAGGTACCTAAGAAATGCTTAGCATTTGTTAGAGCAGTTTCATATTTTAATGGTATATATTTGACATGTCTTTGTAGATCATTGCCAGAGTAAGTATTGATAATAGAACACGGGCCTTAGTTCAGGCATTAAGAAGAACAACTGACCCAAAGCTCTGCATCACTAGGGTTGAAGAATTGACTTTTCATCTGCTGGAATTTCCTGAAGGAAAAGGAGTAGCTGTCAAGGTAATTTCTAATTTATCCATCTGGCTTTGTCTTGGAATTAAAATATTAGTAAACCGTTTTATTTTTTCCTTTTGGCTATACTGGGGTTTGAACTCAGGGCCTCACATCCGCTAGGCAGGCACTCTTTCACTTGAGTAACTCCACCAACTTACAAACCTTTTTAAATTGGAAAGGCAAGGCCTACTTTCCTTTTTAAATTTTGAAAATTTTTTTGTTGTGTACATATATTCAGTAATTGTTCAATTTATTCTTCTTATATTATACTAATGAATTCCTTTTCTTCTGTGATGTAAAGTATGCTATTAATACTAATATTTGTACTTTGAGATTCAACATTTGTAAAATAGAAGGTATATTAGTTGAATTGTATACTGTCAAAATTGCCTAGCTTCCAGCTCTCAAGTTATTATTATCATCATCATTATTATTATTATTTGGCAGCACTAGGGTTTGAACTCAGAGCCTCCTGCTTGCTAGACAGGTGCTGTACCACTTGAGCCACTCTGCCAGCCCAAGCCCTGGAGGGCTTGCTTATTCCTCATCTATTGTAGCTTGTGGCAAACTTACATGGCTGAAGGGGCAAGGCAGCTGCCCCTTTCAGACTCTTTCACAGTGTCACTAATCCCTTTCACTAGGCAGAGGCTTCATGACTTAATATCTCCCAAAAGACCCTCCCCTTAATACTACGATGCTGGGCGTTAGGTTCCAGAATATGAATCTTAGGGGAACACATTCAGATCATAGCACGTGCTTTACAAAACCTTTTTAAAACATTTTATTCAAGTATAACATGTAAAGGAAGTTCTCAGAATGAACACATCCAAATAACCCGTGTCTAGATGAAAAAACAGAACATTAGCACTGCCTTAGAAGTCTTTGCATCCCCTTTCAGTCATGTTCTCACAAAAAGGTAATCATGGACTAGTTTTGCTACCTTGTATGATTGGCTTCTCTCATCTGGGATGTTGATAGGAATTGTTTATATTGTGATGGGTAGTTGTTAGTTATTTTCATTTGTTTTGTTTTTATTATGAGTTGCTTATTTCCATGTTTTTTGTGACTCATGTTTTTGTTTTGTTTTGTTTCTTGGAGACTCAGTCTAATTAGTGCAGGCTGCCTTGGAACTTACTGTGTAGACCAGGCTTAAACTTGCAGTCTTCCTGCTTCAGTCTTCCAAGTGCTGGGATTGCAGGTGTGAAGCACCGCACTGGGCCATGCTCATTGCTTTTACACTTCATGATGTATCACAGTTTGTTCATTATATTGTTGATAGATTTCTGGGTAATTTTCTGTGTCAGTTTGTTATAACTAGTGCTACTGACTATTGAAAGTTTGAGGATTCTCTTATGTTTTGTGTGTGATACTAAATCTAAGTACCCTACAATACCAAGAAGAAACATGGTAAGGAATTGTATACTCAGATCAGTTATGAATGACAAAATAGTCTAAAGGAAGTAGTAACCCTTCCCCTCAATAATAAGCATCTAAAAACAATGAACTGAATAATTTGCTTAGGCCATTCAGCATGTATGCTCTGCTGGGAACTCTCCCAACTAAACTTTTTGCCCATTTTTCCAATGGGCCAACCAGCTTTTTAGTATTGATTTTTACAATTTCTTTTTTTGTTTTTGTTTGGTTGGGTAGAAACTGGGGTTTCTACCACTTGAACAAAGCCTCCAGCCCAATTTTTACAATTTCTTAATATGTTATAGCTATAAATCCCTGGGGTGTGTGTGTGTGTGTGTGTTGCAGTGTTGCAAATATTTTCTTGTTTTAGGACATACCTTTTCACTCTTTCTGTTTTTTTTTTTTTGTTTTTGATGAACAGATATATAGGACTGGGGTTTGAACTCAGGTCTTCATGCTTGCAAAGCAGGTGCCCTACAACTTGAACCACACTCCCTACCTGCTCTAGTTATTTTAGAGATGGGGATCTCATGAACTGTTTGCCAGCACTGACCTCAAACCTTAATCCTCTTGATCTCAGTTTCCTAGGTTGCTAGCATTACAGGCCTGCCCTACCAGCTAAAAGAGATATTCTTAATTTTAATTTAGTCCCATTTGGTAGGTAATTTTCTGTTTCTGTTTAAGAAAATTTTCCCTATCCTCTGGTCATAAAGGTATCTATTGTGTTTTCTCCTAAAATTTTGTTTTACCTTTCACACTTATATCACTATTAATCTAGAATCAAAGTAGAAATCCTGACTTAAAAAAATACACATATCCACTTGACCCAGCAACCATTATTGAAAGAACTTTTGTCATAAGTGAGGCACTTACCTATTTTTGCTCCAATACTTCATTCCCTAAATTATTGTAGTTTTTCATAAACTTGACATCTCATAGTATAAATCCTCTTTGTTCTTCCTCTTAATATTACCTTGGCTGTTCTTAACATATTTCCATATGAATTTTAAAAGTAGCTACCAAAAAATAAAGGAGAAGAAAATTATCCTGGAATTGCATTGAATCTATGGGGCAATTGGGTTTTTACTAAATTTAGTCTTCTATGCCATGGATTTGGTATATTCTATTAATTTGGGCCATTTTTATTTTCTCTCAGTATTTAACAAAATTTCTGTGGAAAGCCAAGCATGGTTATTCATACTATAATCCCAGCTATTCAGGAGACAGAGGCAGGATGATCCCAAGCAAGGCCTTGTCTCAAAAATAAAATATAAAACAAAAGGCCTGGGGGCCTGACTCAAGTGGTAGATTGATTGCTTTCAGAAGTCCTGGGTTCAGTCCCCAGTTCCGCCATAAAAATTTAATGTGAATGTCTTGCACATTTTTCATTGGATTTACTGTTAATTTGTAAGTACACCATGTTTTGGATGGTAATTTTATTAATGTTATTTTCATTTTAACATCTTTTATTGGTAATTCTAATGTGAGGATCGCTTCTTAGTGTTGGATCATTTGGTACTGGGTTGCCATATGTTGTCATTTTTCTATATGCTGGACATTGGGAATAAAAAAATGCATAGGATCCTTTTTTTGTTGTTTTTTTTTGTTTGTTTGTTTTTTCAGAGAATTGCTTTGCTCCTCTGCTTGCAGTACACTGATAACCTTCATTCAGTTAGGGCAGAGCTGGGTCAAGGTTGCGTTCCAGTTTGGGTAAAAAGTGTGGATTTCTGTTTTTAGGGTGTATTCCTGTAGGGTTTTGGGTTGAGAGCCTCATATGTCCACTACCACCATCCATTTGGGTCCTACAGTCTCAAAAACACAAATATTCTACTCTTGCTTTTCAGAGGTCTTCAGCTTAGCTTTTTAACCTTCCATACCTCCCAGTTTGAGAATTCAGCAAATGTTGAGGTAACACTAATATTGGGATCCACGCCCCTAGTCTTCAGTTTTGTCACTCCAAACTTCATGAGACTCTTGAATGCTCAGCTGATTTCTCTGTCCATTTGTGGCCCTCTGTCTATACCAAACCCAAGTTCTTGGCTTCTTCCCCACCTCAGCAAATGCCATAATGGGGGAAAAGCCACAGCTTATCCGCTCACTCCCCAGCACTTACCCCCACTCCAGGTTTTTAGCCTCTCTGGTCTTCACTGCTGCAGCAGCTCTCTGATACCTTTAAACAGATGGCACTGTTCTTGTGTATTTTAAGTTTTTCTAGTTGTTCTTGGCATGATCATCCATCTCTTTTTTTTTTCTTTTATTATTCATATGTGCATACAAGGCTTGGGTCATTTCTTCCCCCTGCCCCCACCCCCTCCCTTACCACCCACACCACCCCCTCCCTCTCCCCCCTTACCCCCTCAATACCCAGCAGAAACTATTTTGCCCTTATTTCTAATTTTGTTGTAGAGAGAGTATAAGCAATAATAGGAAGGAACAAGGGTTTTTGCTGGTTGAGATAAGGATAGCTATACAGGGCATTGACTCACATTGATTTCCTGTGCGTGGGTGTTGACTTAACGCAGAGAAACTAAAGCAGATACCTTAAAAGCAACTGAGGCCAATAGGAAAAGGGGAACAGGAACTAGAGAAAAGGTTAGATCAAAAAGAACTAACCTAGATCGTCCATCTCTTAACAAAGTGTTCCATCCTAACTAGAAATGGAATCTTGCCTTTCATCCTCCTCCATTATTCAAGTCCTCTAGTGGTGTGTTAGAGCTCTACACTAGCCAGGCAAAAACAATATAAAAAAAGAAAATACAGCTAGTGCTGGTGGCTCACGCCTGTAATCCTAGCTACTCAGGAGACAGAGATCTGGAGGATCGCAGTTCAAAACCAGCCCAGGCAAATAGTTTGGGAGACCCTATCTCAAAAAAACCCATCACAAAAAAAGGGCTAGTGAAGTGGCTCAAGGTGAAGGCCCTGAGTTCAAGCTCCAGCACCGCAAAAAAAGAGAATAAGTACTAGTATTTCAGACTTGATTGATCATAATAAAGAAACAAAGTGAGTGAAACATTGGAAAATTATTTGATTTACTGAGCATTACACAGTAGAAGTATAGCTGTCACTCAGCCATTGCCCTAAAGCTGGGGTATTGACCATATAAAATACTCCTGTGTTACAAAAGTTAGAAAATCTTTGGTAAGCTTGACATAGAAATCTAAGATTTAAGTTCTTGCCTACAATCAGCAGCATGAACTTACATGCTTAGAATCTTGCAGTCGTAGGCTTATTTAAACTAATTTTTTAAATTATTTTAACAGACATTGGGTACCTTAAACTTAGAGAAAAATGATATGACATAAAAGTAAAGGTACTTTAATATGTAAAATGTGATAGGGTCTGTTTTCTGAAAATAGGCTGTGGACCTGAGAATGCACAGTTGCAGAGGAGATTCGTGTTGTGAGAGCAAGCTCAGAAACATAGGCACTCTGTTTCTTTGGCATATTTTTTCATGATTTGGATGATGCACTCTACTTACGTATTACTTGTACTTCTCAGTAAGTGAGCACTTTAGGAAGGAAGTGCTTTCTGGAAGGACAGATGTTTCAGTAAAGAATGAAAGTTAGCAAATAAAATTAACTTGTACCTTTATACTGGAAAGAGAGAGAGCGACAGAGAGCCAGAGAGACAGATTGGGTTGTACTGGTCCCAAACACCTGGGTTCAAATGATCCTCCTACCTCAGCCTCTCGAGTAGTTGGGACCGGCACATACCACTGTACCCAGCTTAAATGAGTTAATTTCTACAGTCAGCTTATATCTTCTTCTTCAGTTTTATTTATTAGTTAACATTCGCTTATGTCCACTTAAGAGGTCTCCTTGTGTTCATGTGCAGTGCACACCAAGGTAGGTTTCTTTTTCTTCAATTTAATTTCCAGTGATTACTTGTGAAGAAGTTTCATCTCTCTCTCTCTCTCTCTCTCTCTCCCCCCCCCCCTTCTCTCCATCCCTCCACTCCTCCCTCTCTTTTTGGAAAGGGGTTCAACTCAGGGCCTCACACTTGCTAGGTGGGCACTCTATCTCTTGAGTCACTCTGCCAGCCCATCGTCTTAACTTTTGATTTGTACAAGATATAGTGTAAAATTTATGTTGTCCTTTTATTGTTACAATTAATACTTTGTAAATTTACATTAACAAGTTATATTTTCTCTAATTGTTAAGCATTGCACATTCTTTGTAGTCTTTCTTTTTTTTGCAACAGTGGGGTTTGAACTCAGTCTTGCACCTACTAGGCAGGCATTTTTACTCACTCTTACTGCTTGAGCCACTCCACCAGCCCAACATTGCACATTTTAAAGAAAATATTTGGAGAGAGACTTTTTGTCCTCAATATTAGGACAAATTCATATGTATTTATTTACATTAATGTGTGAAAAAAGTCTGTTGAGCTGGAGGTGTGGCTGGAACAGTAGAATTCCTGCCTAGTAAACCCAAAGTAATCTCAGTACCACCCCCCAAAAAAACCCCTATTTTTTTTGATATTGCCAAGGAAGTAATGAACACTGACACTTTGATTTTATGTGATAGTCTGCTTGTGTTAGTTAAAAATAATACCCATTTTCATCTTTTTTTTTAAAGACAGGTTCTTGCTGTGTAGCCCAGGCTGACCTGGAATTTGTGATCCTCCTGCCTTAGCCTTCTGAGTGCTGGGATTACAGGTGTGCACCACTACATCCAGTTTACATTTTTCAGTCTTGATTTGACAAAAGTAGCAAAATATCTTTTCTCTCAATGTAGGAAAGAATTATTCCTTATTTATTACGACTGAGACAAGTTAAGGATGAAACTCTTCAGGCTTCAGTTAGAGAAATTTTGGCCTTAATTGGTTATGTGGATCCAGTGAAAGGGAGAGGAATCAGAATTCTTACAATTGATGGTGGAGGAACAAGGTAAGGCTAGAAAAATGACTTAAAATCTACCGATTCAATTCAGCTTTAGGGATTTTGAAGAAACTGATTTAACATGATTATATCATTATTAAATCAGTTTTAAAATAAAACATAAAATTGTTTTCTTTATTACATTATAAATCTAAGAGCTACTGTAAAAATATTTGAATCACTTTATTTTGATTTAATCTAATATTTATATTTTAGTTTGGTCTTCTCAGTAATTTAGAAGCTTCTCAACCATATTTTGTAACTTTTTTATGTGTTTATCTCACCCTTATGTTTATACTTATTAAAGTGATAGTTAGAAAAGAGTCTCTGTCAGTAACTTCCAGGCTCCATGTGTCTTCTTGCAGATACTACTTCTTGTGTGATAATAAATGCTTGCTTTGTTCAGAAAGAGATAATTTCACAATTAGTATTCATTCCTACTATTAGCAGTCCATTCAAATCAATTTTGTTATAATTTATCTGTTATATTATATCTGTTATATTTTCTGCCTTCTCATGAAAGTTTTGGCTTTTTTTTTTTTTTGCAATACTGGAGTTTGAGCTCGGGGCCTACACCTTGAGCCACTCAACCAGCCTTTTTTTGTGATTTTTTTTTTTAAACACAGAGTCTCTCAAACTATTTGCCCAGGCTGGTTTCAAACCTTAATCCTCCTGAGCTCTGCCTCCTGAGTAGCTAGGATTACAGGAGTAAGCCACTGCTGCCTGGTTGGCTTTGTGTTTTAATCCTTTCCCCCAGAATATTCTAGCTTTGTTTCTAGTTCCCTGTGTCTTTACCATTACCTCTGATTAATTTTCATAATTAGCAAATAAGCTACAAAAAGCAATTTATGGAATTACTTTATTCAGTAACTTGAGTTGCTCTGAAATTTCCATTTTGTATTTTATCTTTTCTACAGGGGTGTGGTTGCTCTTCAGACACTGCGAAAATTAGTTGAACTTACTCAGAAACCTATTCATCAGCTCTTTGATTACATTTGTGGCGTAAGCACAGGTAACTATATTCCAGCAGCGCATTAAGAAAAAGAACATTAAACACTTATGTTTAAGGTGATGGTTACTTGCTGAAGTGATGGTTCTTAGTTTCATGTTTTGATAATGAGTAATATTTTGATTGGCTTAATGAATTTAAAAAATATTTATTGTGAATGTTACTATTCAGAAATAGCATTTAATATACTCTGATAATGTGTTTTCAATAAGCTACATGACACAAACAAAGTATTGATTGCTTTTCTGTAAGGAGAATGAAGAAGACAGATGAAGTGGAAGGCAGCCACTGTACTTTTGCTAACATGGATAAGACCACTTTTATGTGAGTGGTATCTCTCAATGAGGAAATTGTTTCCTACATCATTTTTATATGTTTATTTGAAGCCAGAATTTATTTTTAAGAACATCTATTTAAGTTTACAAATACCTTGAAATGGTTAAATAGAGCTAATTAACATGGATAGCCAGAATTTAAATCAATAAATGCGTGTTTTTAAAAAGCTACTTTAAGTATTTGTAATTTGTATACACATGAAATTGTAGTTCCATGTTTGTGTAGAAGAAATATGGCAATTTAGGATGATTGTTACTGTGCATTTTACTGTTTTGACCAAATAATTTCTCTTTGCATTAGTTTACTCTTCATAAATTTTATATCTACATCCTTTTCTCATTCTTTTGAGTTATAATAGTAGTTCTAAAGATTACTACACATAAAACCAAAGGTATCTCTACATTATTAGTATTGAGTATGACAAATATTTCCAAAGGTCATGTTAATTAATACTCATTTGCCAAAACTAAGTGATGAGAGCAGTTGCAGAGATGATTCAGAAACATAAAGAGTCCACTGGAGTAAAGAATCACTGGAACACTACTACCTCAGGATGTTAGCAAACTTGGAAAATATTGGGTTATAGGAAAATAACCAGATTTCTTTACAGAGGTCTTCTGAGCTCTCATAGTATGTTAAAAATGTACTATGACACTCAAAATAGGAAGATAATACTTATGTTCCAAGCTTATTTAACTCTGGAAACTTCTTAAATGTGTACTTAAAACACTATGACTAGTGTTCTTTAGTATTTTCTTTGGAAATACTACCCTGACCATTTCTGTTAAATTTTGGAATGGTCCTAGCAATTCAAACATTTAAATGTTATCTTAGGGCTAACTTCTTGCTTTGGCTCCATTTTTGTTAGTTAAGGACTCAGTAAAGAACATCTCAAATCAACGATTCATTCATGAAGTAGAATATGTTTATGTAATGTGAGCATTTCTGAATTTAACATGTCCTTTCCAGTGTGTCTTCAAGCATATACTTACTGTAACTTGTAGTACACTGCTTTATTTTCTTTCCTTTCCCATTTTGTGTATATATCCTAAGTTTGTTTACATCAGTGATTTTATGAATCTTATAAATATATATTTAGTTTATGGCTAATGTCTTTACTAGTTTGGTAAAGTTAATTCTTTTGAAAAATATTTTCTCACCTTTATAGTAATTCTATTTAAAAATAATTGATTTTTAAAAATTTTTTGTTAATCAGATAATTTATGCAAATTAAAAATTTCTTTTATGTAATCATTAAAGCATAAGTTGGTATTTTGCTGAAAAAATACCAGTTATACCAAAATACATAAATATTTAGCATATATCATGATAAAAATTTCTTGGTTTTCTCTTTGTATTTTTTTGTCATCTTCAGTTAAGTGGTGGTGATAAGCAGATCTTTGCTCTCTCCCTATACCCCAATGCTTTCTCCTCCCTTTTCTCTTAGTGGAGGATTAGGCCAGTTAGATACACTAGGTGGCACTGTTGTACCAATTATAACTAAGAAGTGAAATAGCCATTTAAAGGACATGCTAAATACCTAATTTAGTTGCATTGGTTCTTGGACCAACCTAAAGAAGTAATTGCTTAATGAATGGGTGAGAGTTGTCTAAAGTAATTTATTAATGGTAGAAATCCCATGAAATCTTTTCTTATATATTATTGAATTTAGTGTAAAAAGGGCATATTTTATATTTTAAAAAATAATTATCATTATCATTATAATCCTTCTGAGACCTGATAAAGCCCTTTATATGTGTTGTCATAGTACAAAGGACTTATGAATTTTAACTTTATTTTTCCCCATTTCACAGATAAAAAACTTGGGACTCTGACAAGTGCCACAGGTGACATGGTTAGAAAGTGTCAAAGCTAGAATTTAGGACAGGTAACTCAAGCTATCTCAGAATCATGAGTATAGTCATTGGTGCTGATAAAAACTGAGAATCCTTTCTTTCAGGTGCCATCCTAGCTTTCATGCTGGGATTGTTTCATATGCCATTGGATGAATGTGAGGAACTTTATAGAAAACTAGGATCAGATGTATTTTCACAAAATGTCATTGTTGGGACAGTCAAAATGAGTTGGAGTCATGCATTTTATGACAGTCAAATGTGGGAAAAGATTCTTAAGTAAGTTAGATTCTTTTTAAACTATTGTGATTATGTGTATGTTTTTGTATATTATAACAACACGGAAAACCCAAGGAATATTAAATATTAAATAATAATAAATATTAAGTTATCCTCAGATAACCTATTTGAGGATAACCACTATTACTGTTTTTATGACTCATATTCTTGGCTTCATGTGTGTGATATTTGCAGATAAAGTTATCATTGCCTTTTTAAAAAATATGAGACCATATTGTACATATTTTTGCATATTGTTTTTATTTGACATTTTGTAGCCTTTTCTCCAATCATTATTCAAAAACATCTAATAATTTTAAAATTTCTTTCTAATACTACATAGTCAAAAATGTAAGTGTAAAGCACAAACTTAAAATCACCTATAATCCATAGTTGAAAGCTATAGACCTTTTGTGATATATTTCCTTCTGTTCTGTTTTGTATACATTTTTATAAACATTATATATAGCTGAAATTGTAATGTAGTTGTAAAGTTGTAATCCTTCCTGTTTTTCCAACTTTATTAAAATCTGTTGACACATTTTAAAAGATTACATTTATTCTAAAGTGTGATGGTACTATATTAACTATTTCCAATTAGAATATTCATGGAGATTTATGATAATTTCTTACCTTTTTGTGATTATGACCACTGCTGTGGTAGGAGCTTTAGATTTCTGCCCACATTTCAGAATATGTCAGTTAGGTCAACTTACAAGAAATGTGATTGGGCTAAATGTCGATGTCTGCTGGGCATCAGTGGCTCACACCTGTGATCCCAGCTACTTGAGGGGGCTGAGATTGGGAGGATAATGGTTTGAGGCCAGCCCAGGCAAATACTTCATGTAAGATCCCATCTCAAAATAGCCAGAACAAAATGGACTGGAGGTGTGGCTCAAGCCATAGAGCACCTGCTTTGTAAGTGTGAAGTCCTGAGTCCAAACTCCAGTTCTACCCCTCCCAAATGTGAATGTCTTTTTAAAATAATCACCATATGGAAATAGAGAATATATAAAGACAATGAAATAATGTAAAATATAATGATGAAACCCCTTTAAATTGTTTAAAAGGGAGGGAGATAAGAGTAATAGAGGGGGTGAATTTGCTCAAAGTGCATTATTTGCAAGTATGGAAATATCACAATGAAATTCCTTTGTACAATTGAAATAGAAGCTGGGCACTGTTGACTCATGCCTTAATATTCTAGCTAAGTGAGATCAGGATGATAACAGTTTGAGGCCAGTCTGGGCAAGTAGTTGTTGAGACCCTATTTCCAAAATAACCAGAGCAAAATGGACTGGAGGCATGGCTCAAGGGTAGAGCACCTGCTTTGCAAGTGCAAAACCCTGAGTTCTAAACAAAAGTCTTGAATGTGTGTATATACATGCGTACACATATATAGCTGAATTCTTCTAAACTGAATCTTAGCTTACTTACATCTACCACCTTCAATTAGTTCTTCTATTTTGTGAAATACTCATGAACACCAAATGATCTAGTGTTTAAAATGCATTAATTTGAGAGTTTTTGAAACTGGTATTTCAGTTTACATCACTTTGTAATGTACTCAGTGACTTACTGAATATGAACATATTTTATTTATTTGTTTTTGGTCAGACAGGGATTTAAACTCCGGGCTTTGCACTTGCAAAGCAGGTGCTCTGCCAGTTGAGCCACACCTTCAGTCCATTTTGCTCTCATTATTTTGGAGATGGGTTCTTGAGAACTATTTGTTAAGAATAAGATTAAAACAAAAAATAAATGTTTTTAATTTGGCTTATGAGTGGAAAAGCAGCACACTCCCAGTTTGGTTCTAATTTCATAGCTAGAGTTCTATGAAAAGATAAAGATCCTCAGAAGAATAAAATTTTATTGACCTTCATACAGAAGAAACATATGGATCAGATTGAGAAAGGCAAGAACCTTGTCCACTTTGGAAAGCCTTACAGTAGTAATGCTTGTCATATTATAAACCTGCATTCTTGAAAACAGGACTAGGGCATGGCTGGAGTGATACTGCACCTGCTTAGCAGCACCTCCAAATAAATGCTTGAAAAGATTAGGCAATTTATAACTTATATTTATGTGAAATTCACTAGTATTCTAGTTGAGAATGTGAATACTTATGGTTTGAAAATGTCACTGGAAAAATGGTTTTAGTCATGAGAAAAATTGGTAAAACCATAATCTTTATATTCAATATAGGGAAAAGTCATATTTTACTGTTTTTTATTAGCATATATTAAAGTACAAGGGATGTCATAATGTCATAGATGCATAGTGTATTTTGAAAAAACTTACCACCTTTATTATATTCGCTTAGTACCCCCATATATATATATATATATATGTACATATACATATTCTGTATATGTATATTCTGATCCTCTTCACCCATCAGTACCTCTCCTTTCCTCTTCCCCTCTATTGACACCCCTCTCCCAGACTGTCCTCTTTTTACACTCAACCCCCCCCCCCTTTTTAAACCACACTGGAGTTTCAACTCAGGACCTTGCACTTGATAGGCAGGTGCTCTAGCACTTGAGCCACATCCCCAGCCCTCAAGTCCCCTTTTGGATGTGGTGGGGTACCAGGGCTTGAACTCAGGTCTTCATTCTTGTGAGGCAGGTGCATTACTGCTTGAGCACCAGCCCTTTTTCTTTTTTTTCTTTCTTTTATTTTATTGTTTTTACATTTATTTACATATATATACATTATTTGGGTCACCTTCCCTCTTGTGTCTTTGTGTCGTCTACTAACACCCCCCCCACACACACACTTCTGGGCAGAACCTGTTCCTCTGCCTTCTTGTTCTCCGATTTTGATGAAGGGAAAACATACGAGATAATAAGAAACACATAGTAATTTTGCTAATTTGAGATAAAGATAGCTTTACAGAGAGATTCCTAGCATTGCTTCCATGCACTTGTGTATTACAACCCACATTGATTCATCTTTACTAGACCTCTTCACTACTTCCTGGTCCCCTTCCCATAGTGGCCTCTGCCAGTTTAAGATTACTTTATTCACTCCTCTACAGTGAGCACATCAACCACATTCAAATTTTAGGTTTCCTTCCCTTTCGCTATTCCTCCTGTATGCATTCTCCCCTTAGTGTGTGACCCATGTCCAATAATATTACTGCATTCATTTTAGGTCTATAATCCACATGCAAGGGAGAATATGCAATTTTGGGCCTGCTGAACCTGGCTAACTTTGTTTACAATGCTCCAGTTCCATCCATTTACTTGTGAATGATGAAATTTCATTCTTCTTTGTGGCTGAGTAAAATTCTATTGTGTATAAATACCACATTTCATAATCCATCAGTAGTGCCTTCAGTCCTTTTTCAATGTAATTTTTTTTTGGAAGTATTGCGATTTGAACTCAGGGCTTCACACTTGCTAAACAGGTGTTTTACTATTTGAGCTACTCTGCCATACTTTTTTTTGGTTTGGGTTTTTTTGAGATAGGGTCTTGGGAACTATTTGCCCAGGCTGGCTTTGAACCTCCATCCTCCTGATCTCTGCCTCCTGAGTAGCTAGGATTACAGGTGTGAGCCACCAGCACGTGGCTTCTATCTCAATATTATTATTAACATTATCATTTCAGGTCTATATTCCACATAGGAGTGAAAACGTGATATTTAGCTTTTTGAGCTTGGTTTATTTCATTTAAAATGATCTCCAGTTGGGAAATCTTTTTAAAGATATATTTTAGCTTTTGGGGGGTGTGATACCAGGTTTCTAACTATTTGGCTGTACCAGAGTTTGAGTTCTGGGCTTTGCGCTTGCTAGGTGGGCACTGTACTACTTCAGCCACACCTCCAGCCTGAAAAATAATTTTTTCCACACAGCTAGTAAGTGAAGAAAAATAGTTTTAGACCTAAGTATCTGCACTGAGATTAAATTTCCTTACAATGGAACTGTGAAGCAAATAATGTTCCCCAAGGACAGTTTGCCTTGTATTTCAGTAATTTAAGTGCCAACTCAAGATGACTTTCAAAGTAGTTTTCAAAGACGCTGACTCTGTATTACCTGCTAAAACAGGTGTAATGTCTAAATGTCCTGGCTTGGTTTTTATGTAACTCTAGTGCATGCATTTCTTCAGTCTTACCTCAACATGAATTCTTTATCCTGTCAGCAAGACCCTGAAAATGATAGATTTTTTTCTGCTTTTATGCATTGTCCCAGTATATAATCCAGCTTTTAGTATATTGCCTTACCATCTTTTGGTATCTTTCTCAAACTATACTTCCATCTATCTTTGTCAGATACTGTAGCCCGTATTGACTGATCCACCCCAGAATCATAGCTACCTACAGTTTGAATCAGAAACTGGTAAATAACTGCATATTGTGATGTGTCCTGTTTGTTAAGAGACAAAATCATTTTGGTATAATGTATTTCTTTTTGTTTAATAAGGGATAGAATGGGATCTACACTAATGATTGAGACAGCAAGAAATCCTAAGTGTCCTAAGGTAAGTTTAGAGTCTATTAAACAGAACATCTGGTTGGAACAAGGTCTGGTGAAAGCACTTATTCTGGAAAAAAATTTTCAGGAATTTCTTCTAATAATTTTTATTAATTCCTTATGTGTTGGAATAGTCATTGTATGAAGATACAGATTGTGATCATTAGATCTTTTCTGTATGTAGTAACAGTATAACAAAAGTTTAAAAACATGAAAGTCTGGGACTAAAAATAAGGATTAATTATTTTAACCAAATGTAGTGATTTAAGGAAAATTATGGCATTTCCTCTTCTATCTTTTTTAAGAGAAATTTTTGTACCACATAGAATCCCATTTCAAAAAGGTTATAATGTTACTTAGACATATCTCAGTGTCGTCCTCATTTATTGATTTGTTAGAAACCCGATAAGATATTGTTAAAGTTTTTTTTTTTTTGCAGATTGAGGTTTGAACTCAAGGCCTCACACTTGCTAGGCAGGCTGTCTACCACTTGAACAACTTCTTTATTTTTTTAATAATATTTGTCTGATTAAGGAATGTAATCTATGTGTCCAGAAAAAGCTTGTATTTATTCTTGGATGACAAGCTGTTATGATGAAAAAATCAAACAAATACACCTCCCTTTGTTGCTCTTCAACTCTAACATTTTCATTCATTCTGAAAATATTAACTATGTGACCACTGTGCAGTACTGTGCTAGGCACTTTCCTATATTAGTGAACAGATGCAGACATGGAGTTTATAGCCCTATCTAGGAGCATAGCTATTAATGAAGTAGTCACATAGATGAGATAGTTTCTTGAAGTAAGTGCTGTGGAGCACACTAGCAGTTCTCTGCAGCATGAGTTTAAAGGACACATGGGAAGGCTACTCTGTGAGATCTCATTGTGAAGTCTGATGAGTAGGAGCAATCCTGGCAAAGGGACAAAGGGAATGGCCTGTGAAGGAGAAGTCATAGAGAATTTCAAGAGCATTCCAGGAACTCTCTCTGAAGACTGGTGCCCAAGCATCCAAGGTCACCATGTGGGATGAGGCTGGAATAGGCAGATCAGAGCACGGTCCCATAGGCTGTGATAAAAAGATGACTTAATTCTTGGAGAGGCCTTAGGATGCAGTTTATACCTTTTAGTTGTTTCCCTGTTTCTCCAGGGCTTTGTTTTTGTTTGCTTATTTGCTTCCAAATTGTGGCAGTTATCAGCTTTGATTAAAAGAACAGAAGTGAGTGTAGGAAAATTTAGCTACATCAAAAAGTACTTCTTGATGACAAATAGTAGCCACCCATACATTTTTAAATCCAGTTTTGTAACTGATATATATCCATTATAGAAATACTCTTTGGATTTAGTGTATGGCCAACTCTTATGCTTGGTGACCTAGAGACACAGATTACTTACAGGAATTTGGGATATTAGCTTTGTTTATTGAATAGCAAAGCAAACAGGTCCCTGGCAGGGATTGCTACAGGACACTGAAAACATTGGCTTTATCAGTACCATTTGTCTTACGTATCATCAATAAATATAGCCCATTTTACATAAATCCAACAGAGAGCTCCAAAACTTGAGACCTGGAATGATTGATGTTAATATTTTTAAATAAATAAACCAGCTACCTAGTTTTAATGACTATGATCTGAAACCTTGAGAATTTGTGTATTGCCATTTTATGGCTTTACTAAAGCCATAATGCTTTCAGAGAATACAGAAATAAAGACTAATTTGAAAATGATGTTGTGAAAATGTTGTACTTCTTAATCTTTAGTTTTTATTAATTGTAACTACATACGGTTCTAGAAATGTGTGCCTCCTTGACTGTCTTTTTTAAATAAAATCAGGTAGTCAAATAAATCTTGTATTGTTGTTCTCTTCTAATATATTTCTCAGAATTGTCTTAAGTCCTTGTATCTGTTGTCCCATAAAGAAATACTGATTTTAAAAGATCTAGTTCCCTTTGGTCAACATATTTGTTGATCTTGTTGGAGTTGTACTTTGTTCATTCATATGACTAAGTGGTATATAATTTTCACAGGTGCCAAATATTTCTGCTTATAGGAATATTGTTTACTTTCTAATTCACTAGGTAGCTGCTGTAAGCACTATAGTAAACAGAGGGATAACACCAAAAGCTTTTGTGTTCAGAAACTATGGTCATTTTCCTGGAATCAACTCTCATTACTTAGGAGGCTGCCAGTACAAAATGTGGCAGGCCATCCGAGCCTCATCTGCTGCTCCGGGCTATTTTGCAGAATATGCATTGGGAAATGATCTTCATCAAGTAAGTTGACTTATATGGCTGTCCTTTAAATTTTTTATGGAGTGAAATAATCAGCACTTACTAAATTTCATTCAATGTTACAAAGATCAAGGACACTTTTCAAATGTCAAATGATATGCAAGTCAATACATATTTTCCTTAAATTAATAAGCCTTTGGCATGGGAATTATAAATTAGGTAAGTTTTTATATAGTGTGATTCATAGCCAGTTATGATAATTTTGTTGATAAAAAGTGAGGCTGTGTAGTATGATAGCTTCATGAACATGATGAAAATAAGAATGGAGGGTGGGGGGGAGGCCCAAACAATGCATACACATGTGAGTAATGTAAAAATGATAAAATAAAGTAAATAAGAATGGAGTACATTCCCTGAAAGTGAACTGTGAAACAGCAGTCCCCTGTTTCACAGTTTTGGAGGGCACATTTTGAAGGATGAGATATAATAAAATAATAGCAAACGTGCATTATGATAGCCGTGTGCCAGATATTCATTGCTTCGCATGCTTTGTCTCACTTACTCATTGCTGCTTGTGAGAAATCTGTTTCCATTTTACAAGTAAGAAATTGGAGTCTTAGAAAGGTTAAGTAATTAGAGTTAAGTTATAGGATGCTATCTGTAATTACACTGTTCTAAATTTTATTCCTTTTCAGTGTATAGACTCATATACTTAATTTTTTTTCTCCGTCAAGTTTTTCCCACTTTTTATGGAGGTCTTAATTCATAACTTTACTAAACGATAAAAAACACAGTCTCAATAAAGCTTTTGAGCTGATGCTTCCAGAATATGTTTTTTGGATTTTTGTTTGTTTTTTGTGGGACTGGGGTTTGAACTCAGTGCTTCATGCTTGCAAAGCAAGCACTCTACTGCTTGAGCCACAACCTCTAGTCCATTTTGCTCTGGTTATTTTGGAGATGAGATCTCACAAACTATTTGCCTGGGCTGGCCTCAAACTGCAATCCTCCTGAAATCTCAGCCTCACAAGGAGCTAAGATTATATGATGTCCCACTTAACAATCCATCTCATTTGAAGGAGTCAGTAATCTTAACTTTTCCTCTCTAGTCACTAAAGTATGTCTGCACTCTTTGATATGTAGATCTGTTGAGAAAAAATCTAATATTATCAACAAGAATCTTCAGATGGCATTCAAAACTTATAAGTAAATCTATATAAACTGTATACCCCTTATATAAACTTGAAATTTTTCTAATGAATAATATTAATTTACATGTGTCAATGTTATAACAACTAAAACGTTTTTATCAATTGTATTGTCTCCTATATTTTGATAGAATAGTTTAGACACATTCTAAAATGTTATGGTCAATTATTCCATGTTCTTTATCTTTCTAGAAGTAATGTCATAATCTTTGTAGTTAAAAGATTAAAATAGGATTCCTTTTGTCTTGGGAGTCATTTCAAACTATTTCTTGCTCTGTGAAATCAGTCATTGTTGAATTATGTAAAGCACTTTCCCTTCTTGCCTTTCTTTTTTTTTTTCCTTCCACCCCCTCAGGGCAGAAAGTGCTGGCTGTCATGTTCCTTTCTTATATTGATTTCTGAACATATTGGTCAAAATACAGCTTTTACTTTGATGTGTAGCTTTCTGTCCTGATCAACTGCTTCCCCATTCCTATTCTAGTCTTGTCCTGTCATAAATAACGAGACAGTGTATAATGGTTAAAGTTGTAAGTTACTACTTTCAGGAAAATAGTCATGCTACACACCTGCAGTCATGCCAAATACCAGTAGAAGTCTCAAACAATAAGTTGTTATATTTTGGGACTATGTTTCCATATTTCAAGGGAAGCAATCTCAGTTTTTCTTTATTTTTTTTAATATTTTGTCTTTGAGATGGAGTCTCCCTGTGATAAAGCCCAGGCTGGCCTCAAACTGATGATCTTAGTGTCTTAACCTTCTGAGTGTCATTTGCTCTTTATTTTTTATCACAGAGGAAGTAGTTCTAAAGTTTCATTCATTCTTGTTGAATTCATATGTATAGATATACATACATATATATAAAACTAAAGTAATTCAGGGGTTCTTTTACAGTTTCAGATAAGACTGGTGATATTTTTTTTCATTCTTGGCTGTTTTTATATTGATGACCATAATCTTTCAACTAATTTTGAGCAGCAGATTAAAATAACTTCTTACAAATTTTATGTAAAGCATGGAGCCATATGGAAAAAAGATATACTTTCATGTAAGTCAATGGCCTCCAGAAAGTTTGGCACATTTTAATAAGAATATTTAAATAGAATCTGAAGTCTAAGAACCTAGTTAAGTAAGTACTTTTCTTATTATATATTCTCTTCTAAGACCTGAGGCAGAAATGAGAAGAAATTTTTCTCCTCAAAAGACAATTGAAAAGATTGACAAGAATATTCCTAAATATGAGTGATCTTGATTGCTTAAGCAAAGAAAACAAAGGAAAGTTCCTAACTTTTTCTGTCCTTTAGGAGTTGCCAGGGTTAACACTAAAATCTTGTACTTACTACAGCCTTCTCACACTAAGCCTTTGTGTAATCATATTCAATTATTTCCAGTCTCATTTTAAAAATACCTTTTAACTGTCATATCTGACATCTTATTTTAAGTTACTTCATTTCCTTTTTGGGTCCTGCTATAGTATAAATTATAGGCTAATATTCTGTTTGAATGGTTATTGAAAGTAGGCTATAATTAAGTATAGATGCATGGGGAAATTTCATTGACCTTTGACTATAGAAAGACTTACAGTACTTACAAAGTATGTTGTGTACTCTAAGAAATGTAAAGTAGAAGTTTTTTGAGTGGCCTCTCGTTACTTCCCCCTTCCCAGGTGGCAGCATAATATTTATCATAGAGAAGTACTTTTTATACAAAATTATCCCATCTCTTATCTTTTTCCATCTCCATCTCTAAAATTAATTTGTTAATTTCCTTTGTTTGGTGAAAGAATTTGATTAATTGGTTTACAATGGGTTTTTTTTTTTTTTCTTTCTTTTTTTGGGAGGAGAGATGGTGCTGGGAATTGAACCTAAAACCTCATGCATGCTGAACACAACATCTACCACTGGGCTATATACCCACAGCTTCTTGCACTAAAGATTTTGATGACTGATTCTAATACTCTTATTTTTCTCAGGCTTTATTTACATTTTAGAAGGTTATATTCAGAACTTAGGATACATTAACTAAAACATTGATGAAACTCCATATAAATGTGGCAGGTAAAGAGTATTTTAGCAGACAGAGCCTGCCTTCCACCTGCCAAATTAAGCCTGTATCAGGTCAAAACTAATGGTTTTGTTTATAACGTGACAGAATCATATGGAGTGCTCACAAACTTTGGGGCACTGTGGTAATTGAGAAGAATATAAATATTTTTACTAATAGCTAGCATATTGTTTGTGCTTTTGGGGTTCTGCCCTCAAATAACTAAGATTTAAAGAACATAAACAATTAAAGAATGCGATAATAAGTTCACTAGTAAAAATATATACAGGGTTAAGAAGTAGGATGAATGTGTTTTACTCTATGAGGGTCATCTTTCAAAGAAGCTGCCATCTGAGTTAGTATTAAAAAGAACAAGTAGCTGATTAGAGATAGAAATGAGAAGGGAATAAGAAAAGATTACTTAGTGATTACTGAATTTGAATAATAAAAGTGTTCTAGAAATAGTACAAATGACATTTCCAAAACATTGTGAGTATAATACCACTGATTTATAACCTTAAAATAACCAATTTTATGTTACTTAATTTGCCATAATAAAAAATTTTAAGGAACTCAGAAAAACTGAGATGATTAAGAGGCATTGATATTTTCCATTAATTATTTTTGATAGGTACCCTGATTTATTATTTGAAATGATTAAATATACATTAAAAGCAAGAAAAAGTATCCATATACTTTAGGCTATTAAGAAAATATAAAGTGTACTGTAATTAAAACATAGTCCTAGTTTTTCTAAGAGATAAGTAACAAATTATTCAATAGTTATTTTTCTAGTCTATTTTAGTTCAGCACCTGGCATGTACCAAGTTCACAGTAAACAAATAGCTATAAATATGAATATTTGAGTGAATGGAAGAGCTGCAGGAAATACCATAGGCATAGCCTAATGACCTACCAATAGACGAGGTGTCTGACTAGAGTAAGAGGAACTTAAGGGAGGATTGTGCCTGCCACTGGACTGGAGTGAGTACCAAAAATCTTAACTGCTGTATGTTTTTGATAAAAAGTGGGTCAAGTTTAAGAAACAGAAATTTACTTATGATCCTAAATGCCCAGTTGATTAGAAGTTACAGAGTCTATCAGCCATGGAATTTGAGATAGAAATAGTTTGATGAAAAAGAACTTTTTTCTGAATTAGAAATTAAATGTGTTATCTCTGTCCTGGGATGGGTATCATTCTATTATCCTATCAAGTTAAAGGAAAAACTTGAAAAAGTTAAAATTTGCACTTGAGTAAGCCTTTAGGAAGGAACTTTGTTATTACCTGCATTTAAAGAATCCAAGTTGATTTTTATAAAGTTAAATACCTAGCCAATTCACAGATTTATAATGATAGCTAAATTAAAAATAGTTTCTTTCAAGTTATGAATGGGTTAACTGTGGTATATCCAAATAATGGAATATTACAATAAAAAGGAATGAATCAGATATTTACAACGACATGGATGAATTTCTGAAGTATTTTAAGAGAAACTAGATCCTAAAGCGTACTACCGAATGATTCCATTTATTTTGATAAAGTCTCTTGTATGATCTTAGAGAATAAATGGATTAATAGAACTGAGATTCCAAGGTATTATAAATATGTTGAAATCACAGTGATAAGGATTGCTGTTGAAAGAAGTTATACGAACAAGATGCTGACTTCACCGTGGAGTGACTGGAGGTTAATATGTGACAATAATAATGAAAAGATGGCAGTATAGCTGAATGCAGAGCCTTTAAAAAGTTTTCCAAAGGGACTGGCACTAATGGTCTAGAAGAAACACGAATAAGGAAGACACCACCACCCACCCCCAACCCCAGTGCATATGAAGTAGGAGAAAATCAATACCTGGGAAGTGATATTAGGGAAAACCCACATTTCCAGCAAGTTAGGAAGAAAATTCTTTAAGCTAGGAATTTAATCACACAGTTTAAGTTGGGAGTTACAACTGGGGAACAATCCCACAGAAGAGTGGAAGGGTTTTAGGATGGAGTGTGGGGAATGCTGGGTGACTATCAGTGGCAGGGAAGCACAGAGACTTGAATGCTGCTTGAATGGGAATGAAGGCACAGCAGAGTGAGAATGACATGGACATTTGCCCCTTTATTGATTCTTTGAGGAAAATTGGTCTAGTGACCTGAAAAACTTGCCCCACCATGGCTACTTGGTGGTTAGTTCCAAGAGATGCAGGCTCAGTTCTCCTACTTCAAGTTCAGAGCACGCAAGTATAGCTCCCCTAAAATTGTACTCAGTACAAGCTTTTTGGCCTGCCACAGAGTAGATAGGTAGCCATTTACGTTTTTCATGAATGAACTGAAATAGTGTACTTGGTGTCAGAATACCTCCTTCTCACTTTTTTGTTTGTTTGTTTTGGTGTGATGGTGCAGGGAATCAACCCAGGGTCTCACACATGCTAGGGAAGCTCTTTACCACTGAGCTAATCCCTAGCCCTCCTTCTCACCTTCTTAACTTGCATTTTGATATGTTTAGTTTAGGGCTGTGCTCTTGGCTGCATATCCTCTGCCATTCTTCTTTGAGTTTAGGAGGGTAAGTGTTTACTTCACTAAAACTTACTCTGAAAATTCTGCCTGTTGAATCCATAACAAAGATAAGCATAATACCTAGGGTGTGCCACCCTTTCCTCTGTCTGCTCTTGACATAAATTGTTTTCTTGCTGTGCCCAGACAAGGGTCAGAGTCTCCTTAGGAATACCATTGTCAGTTAGGTGGCAAGCAAGGTGAATTTTTCTCCCCTTTGTCCCATAATTGGGCCATTCATAGACCAGTTTTCTGCAATTCAGGTTTTCCAGAGACTGTTACTAGTGGGGCACCTCTCAGCCGCAAAGAGACATTAATGAAAACATCCAAAGGCCTGAGATAGTAAAAGCTTATGAGTTAAGCATGCTCCTGTTGACAGGAGATGTCTTTTAAAAGGATACCTTTTTCTCATGAAAGTCATAGTATGGAAAAATGGGACACATTCTTTCAAAGAAATGTAGTGGAATGGTGGTGATCAGTAAGTTAGGTGAAATAGAAATTGGATTGGAAGTGACTACAAACAACCTACACTAAAATGGAGAAAAAAGTAAGCAATGAAAAGGTGTGACCACCTGCTTTCTGAGAATCCACAGGGCCCCTTTTTCCCTTGTAATCTCAAAAACATAAAGCTCTACATTGGTGATGAATTACACATGCCATAATAAAGGTTCATTAGCCTCACACCAGGTATTCCATTGCCTAAGGAGCCAGGTAAATCTCTGGGAAGTGTGGTTAGTATTTGGGAACATCTCTGTGAGCTTCCTCATAGTGTGATCTCATTGGTCTTGCCAGAGTATTATTTGAGACGCATGTGTCTGAGGAAGTTGCTTTAGAATGTTAAAAATGAAGTCAGCATTATCTGTGACTTGTAGAATAAGCACTACCACTCCGCTCTAAAGTGACTGAGCATAAATTCATGGAAAGATGAAGGTATTTCTCCTTTCTGGAGTTGTAGTAACAATAGTATACTTCATGAGTACAGCAAAATCTTGTATGTTTTTAATGGGGACTTTATAAACCAGAGAGCACTAATATAGACAGTAGCGGGGTGTGTAGATCCTATTCCATTAGGCAAGGATATGATAGGGGAATCAGTTACATTCCTTTATATAAGCAATGAGTAATTGAAAACCAATTTTTTAAGGGAAACATTCTTATTTATAACAGCTCCCAAAATTACTCTTCAACATACAGAATCTGTATGTTGAAAACAAAATGCAGATGAAAAAAATTACAGAAACTCAAATAAATGAAAAGTTATACAGAGATTGAAATCAACATAGTATAATATGTTAATTATCCCCAAAGTAGTTTGTAGTTATAATGTGATGCCTATTAAAACTCCAGTAGGATTTTTTTTGTTGTTGTTATATTAACCAGGTTTTAAATCTTATATGGAAAGGTAGAGGAATTAAAATAGCTGACAGTTCTGAAAAAAAGGGAGAACAAGGTTAGAGGAATTCTACCCAGTTTAAAAACTTACTATACAGGTATAGTAATCATGACTGTTGTATTTATACATCAGCAGACATACAGATAAATGGAACAGAATAGGGAGTGCAAAAATAGACCTACACATATAAACCATTTGTCCTTTAACAAAGTTGTGAATGCAGTTCAGCAGAGAAAGGATAGTTTTTTCAGCAATTTGTGTTGATATATTAGTGAAATCTCTGTCAGTCTCTGCCTCTGTGTCTCCCCTCCTTCTCACTGTCTCTTCCACATATATTCACACCTTACATGGAGATTATTCAAAGTGGATCACAGATCTAAAACACAAAACTTTTTAGAAGAAAATTTGAAAAAATTGTGACCTGGGGTCAAGTGAAGACTTCTTAAAGTTACACAGAAATCACAACCCATAAAAGAAAATTGACAAATTGAACTTCCTCAAAATTGAAAACTTTAAAAAAAATTAACTTTTGCTAGCCAGGTGCCAGTGGATTACACCTATAATCCTGGCTACTTGGGAGGCTGAGATTGGGAGGAATGTGGTTCAAGGCCAGCCTGGATAGGGAACTTGGGAGATCCTGCCTCAACCAATAGCTGGCTACTGTGGCACACAACTGTTGTTCCAAGCTATGCGGGAGGCTAAGATGGGAAAGATGGCAGTTCCAGGCCAGCCAGGGCAAAAAAGATGGCAAGACCCCATCTCAATAGAAATAAGAAGCTGGGTCTGGTGGTATATGCCTGTCATCCCAGCTAAGGCAGGAAGTGTAAAACTGAGGATCATGGCCTAGGCAAAAAGTGAGACCCTATCTCCAAAATAACCAGAGTGAAAAAGGACTGGAGCTATGGTTCAAACAGTACAGTACTTACCTAGTAAGCTCAAAGCCCTGAGTTCAAACCCCAGTACCCCCCCCCAAAAAAAAAGGTGCTCTACTATTTGAGCCATGCCTCTAGTCCTTTTGCTCTGGTTATTTTGGAGATAGAAGTCTCTTGAACTGTTTGTCTGGACTGGCTTCAAATCATGATCTTCCCAATTTCAGCCTACCAAATAGCTAAGATTACAGGTGTGAGCCACCAGTGCCTGGCTAGCAAAAAAACCTTTTTTGCTAAGAGACAAGCTATATACAGGAAGAAAATACAAATCATATATCCAACAAAAAACATTTATCTAGAATAATTATGGAAAATATATAGGAAAAGAGCCTAGGTAGTCACTTAAGCTATCATAAATAGATATATTTCCCTAGATTTTTAAATAAAATATATGTTAATAATGTAACATATTTTAATATAATTGAGGTGTGATTTCTTTCAGTGTTTCCTTGTAGCATTGTGCATTGAATTCAGGGCCTTGCACATGCTAGGCAAGCACTGTCTCACCAAGCTAGGTCCACAGTCTATTTTTATATAATTATGTTATGTGTTCTGTTATAGTGTGACCATAATTTTAAATTCTTTTATTTTGACAAGTATTTTACCTTTCCTTTTGAATTCTTAAAAATAATGTTGATTATTATAAATACTCAGAAATACAGTTTCATCTACTTTGTTTAGGTTATATCTCCATTGTGGATATGATACATTAAAATTATATTGTTAAAAATTCAGTTAAGTTAGAATTAATATGGTTATGCTTGACTTATGAGAAAAGTTTTAATTGCTTGGTAGACCATGGTTGTTTTCTGTTAGTAGTCTGATTAACCACTTTATTGATTACTACCACATACTAAACACGAAATAAAAATAATGCATCTTTAAAAATTAGTACAGGGCAGTACAGAAACTGGACCTGGTGGTGCATGCTTGCAATCCCAACACTCTGAGGAGGCTGAGGCAGGAGGATCATGGGTTGAAGGCCAGCCTGGGTACAGAGACACTGTCTCATAAAAAGTAGTTCAATTCATTTCAGTATTTTTGAGCAAAGTTTGCAAAGAAATCCAAAAAGTTGCTCAAAATAGGAAAGAAAAGCTTCATACAAAATTTCTTCATGAGGCTGATGGGTTTTCACATGACTTTCGTAGTTGTAGTATATAAAATAAATTCACCTTTTAAATAATTGTTGTTTGGCTTATTATATTGTTCAGTTTTCCCTCTGAGTAAATGTCAAACTTTTAAAATACAATCTTTTATATTCACAACATGTAATTTCATGTTTGAGTTCCTTTTTAACTTGTTTTTTGCAGGATGGAGGTTTGCTTCTGAATAACCCTTCAGCATTGGCAATGCATGAGTGTAAGTGTCTTTGGCCAGATGTCCCATTGGAGTGCATCGTGTCCCTGGGCACTGGACGTTATGAGAGTGATGTGAGAAACACAACAACATACACAAGCTTGAAAACCAAACTTTCTAATGTTATCAACAGTGCCACAGATACAGAAGGTTAGTCTGTTATTTTTCTACTGTAAAACACTGGAACTTACAACATTTAGGTTTTGGTAAAATATGCTGATATTAACTGCAAAAGAGTATGCTATGTCTGTATTGTGGGCTTAGAGTACATGTGGGAGTAAGAATTTTTTTCTTTCCTTGTTAAGTGATCCCAGATAGAGACTACTGTCCACCTAGGAGCTAGTACTACCTTTGCCTGGTTACTTGGATAAACATCTAAAGCAGGCATGGCACAGAAAGCTTGGATGGAGACTCTAGCTAGTTGAGAGAAGGAAAAGCAACAAAAAGAGCCAGATTGATTCCAATATACGCATAATAATAGAGAATTACAGTGGATCAGTACTAATGTGGAAGCAGACTGGAATTAGAATAAGTTTTTTCTTTTTCTATTTTTTTGGAGGATGGAGGTGTGGGGGGCAGTACTGGGTTTTGAACTCAGGGCCTCACACTTGCTAGGTAGTTGTTCTACCACTTGTGTCACGTCTTCAGTCCCCAGAATAAGCTCTTACTTCCACTCTTGCTGCCCCTATAGTATAGTCTACTTACAAAATCCAAAGTGAGCAATTTAAAATCTATTTAAAATATAATCAATCATTTTTCCCCTTGTCAAAACCCTCTAACTTCCTATCACACTTTGAGCAAAATCCAAGAGCCTCAACTTGCTGAAATTTACCAGATTCTGTAAGACCTAGCCTTTGAATGTCTCTTAATCCTCTCAAACTGTGTCTCTGCCCTAAAGTGTATGAGCAAGCCACTCTTTAATTCTTTCTGTTCAGGTACTTGCTAAGAACTCTCCTGCCTCAGGCCCTTTCCATCTGCTGTGCACTCGCTCTGTAAGGCTCTTTGCCCAGATACATGCTTGACCCTTACTTCTTTCAAATGTCACTTCCTCAGAGAGACCTTTTCTTGGCTGTTGTAAATAATGCTGTAATGAACATAGGAGTACAACTATCTCTTCCAGATTCTGATTTCATTTCCTACAGATACATACCTGGAGTAAGACTCCTGGACCATATGGTAGTTCTATTTTTAAGTTTTTGAGGATCCTTTATGTTGAGTTCTATAACGCCTATAACAGTGTACATTCCTACCAGTAGCGCACAGTAATTCTCCTTTTTTCCACATCTTACCAGCACTTACTGTATCTTGTCTTTTTAATAATAGCCAACCTAATGGATATGAGTTGGTTTCTCATTTTGTATTTCTCTGATTCGATAAGATACTCTTATTGTAAGCTATCTGCTTAGACACTCATAGTTTTAATCAACCAGTCTCAATACTTTTTTTTTTTTTTTTGGTAGGGCTGAAGTTTGAATTCAGGAGGACTTCTCAGTGCCTGTGTTGCAAGTACTCTACCACTTGAACCACACCTCTAGGCAATTTTGCTCTGGTTATTTTGGAGATGGGGTCTCATGAACTCTTTGCCCAAGCTGGCCTCAAACCATGATCCTCCTGATCTCAACCTCCCACATAGCTAGGATTACGAGCATGAGCCACCAACACCTGGCCTAGTATCATAACACTTAAATCTATACCTCATGCAAAACTATGTCATGGGCTTTTTTGGAATTCTCAGAAAAAAAATGCTGCTAATGATACAAATATATAAATAGTTATTAAATAATGGTAATTTTGAAAAAGATGAAATAAAATGACATTGAAAGATGTAATTACTGATAATTATAATTTACATGTGAAAACAGCAATTTTATATGAACCAATCTAATATGTAATCAATTATAAATTAATGATAAAAATATAGCAGACTATGAGTTAAGAGAAATGAGAAAACTAAAACAGATTGGTGTCAACAACATATGCAAAATAAATTATGATTGATATGGGTCTTAAAGGATGAAGACTTCCACTTTTGACCATCATAAAATAGTAAGGGCCAGATATTTCTTCCTGCCTCTGGAAAGCCAGACAAAACAATGGTTTTCAGATATTAGATGATAGGTTACATAGAACAGGATCTCTGAGAGAAGGAAAATGAATGAGGTAATCACCGTGATTACCCAGCTTACCATCTGAAAGAGTTTCTTCATTATAGCACAGGAAGGGGAACCCAAAAAAGCGGGTCTCTTGGAGTTCAGGAAACAGAATTTGGAGTTTAGGGAGACAAAGGAAAATAGAATTTTCAGTAGAACACCGCATAGGAGGCAACTTCACAGGCAATCGATAGTGTTCCAGAGATGTGCAGCAGAGGCCCCTGGAGTCTTTGGCCAAGTACTGATCTGTGCACGCCTATAAGGAAACTACCAAAGGCAGAGTAAAGAGCCACCAAAAAAGATTACACTCAGTGATTCTTGGAGCTCACCTGGAAGCCAGCATGGCTTAGGCTTCCATCAACCATATTAGAAAGACCTTGTTATATATGGGTATATGGTAGAGTCCTCGATAGTATTGCTTCAGTAGCAGCACCAAATACAATATCTGAAACAAAAATATACTTGTTATGATCAACAGCAGTTCTGTTTAAACACTTGCAGAAAATAGAAGAGGAAGAAGCACTCCACATCTAATATTATAAGGCCAGCATTACCCAGATACCAAAACCAGACAAAAACACTTTTAAAAGATTTACCACCAATATTTCCCACTAATATACATACAGAAATCTGTAAATAATAAATCAAATTCAGTAATATCTTAAAAAGAAAATACAGTATGACCAATTAAGGTTCATCCCATTAATATGGGATTCACATTAAAAAAAATCAGTGTAATTCACTATATTAACAGACTGAAAAAGGAAAGACATGATCATCTCAATAGATGCAGAAAAGACATCTGGCAAATCCAGCATTCATTCGTGATAAAAATCCTTAGCAAACAAGGAACAGAGGAGAACTTCCTCAGCATGATAAAGAGAATCTGCAAAATAACCTTGCTTTTTTAGACGAGGTCTCAGTGTGTAGCCCAGGCTGTCTTGGAATTCATGATTCTTCAGCCTCAGCCTCCTGAATGCTGGGATTATAGGCATGTAGCACCAAGCCCTACATCGCATCACATTTAATGTTAAAGACTGAATGCTTTCATCTGAGACCAAAAACAGAGTAGAATATCTGCTCTCACCTCTTCCAGTCAACATCGTGCTGAATTTCTTTTGTGTGCCGTAGGGCAATAAAAGGAAATGAAAGACATTAATTAGAAAGGAAGAAATAAAACTTTATTTATGTACAATATGGTTGTCTATGTTAATAATCCTAATGAATCCATAAAAATGCTACTAAAACTAAAAAATTTAGTAAGGTTGAAGAACACCAATCAGCAAACAAAAAATGGACTTTATATCTGCATACTAATAATGAACAACTGTAAAGTTAAATATAGATCAATAGATACCATGTATAATAGCATCAAAAATATTAAATACTTGGGGTACTAGGTAACAGATTATATATAGGATCAAAGAGTGAAACTCAGAGAAATTAAAGACTTAAAAATAAATTAGGTATGCCACGTTCAATGAATTGGAGTTCTCAATATTAAGGCATCATATCTCAAATTAGCATGTTGGCTCAATGCAGTTCCTATGGAGATACTCAAAGGAACTAGACTGTCCAACACAATTTGAAAAAAAAATTGGAGGGCTTAGTCTCTCTGATTTCAAGACTATAAAACTACATTAAGCAAGAGATTGATAATTGGAACAGATAGACATATAGATTAGTGACATATAATCTAGAAATGGATCCATACATATAAACTCAAAAGATTTTTGACAGAGATTCTAAGGTAACTACATGAGAAAGGATTTCTGTCCTTTTCAACAAATTTTCAACAAATGGTGCTGGGATTATTAGGTACCTGTCACCAAAAATTGAACCTTGTCTTTTCATACCATACATGAAAATTAACTTGAAATGAATCAGAGACCTAAAGTACACAGGGACTAAAATTATAAAACCTCCAGATGACTACCCTGGAGAAAAATCTTAATGACCCTGAATAGGTAAAGGTTTTTTAAATAGAACTCAAGCAGCATGAACCAAGAAAGAAATACTGGATGAACTAGGCTTCAAGTCACAAAGTTTGCTTTTCAAAAAACACATTTAATAAAATGAGAAGTCAAGACATAGACTGAAAGAAAATATTTGTAAAACATGTATCTGACCCATTATCAGTTCTAAATATTTAATCAGATCCAAAATAGAGAATCATTACATTATTTATACATATGTGTATATATGAATAGCTAAAGAATAGAAGCAATTCAGTGGGGACAATGGACAGAAGACAATTACAAATACTAACAAGTTCGTGAAAATTGTCTCAGAATCATTAATCCTTAAATAAAAAATTTAAACCACAAGATATCATTGCACACCTTGTAGGATTTAAAAATAGTAAAGCCATTTTGGAAAATGTGGCATTTCTTTTAAAGAAAACATGCATTTTTACCATATGACCCAGGAATTTCATTCTTTCTAGATTTTTACCCAAGAGAAGTGGAATAATATGTCTATACAAAGACTGAGGTGTAAATATTTATAGTAGAATTATTCCTAATGTCAAAAACCTAAGAGAACCAGAACTGAAAAGAAAAAATTGCATTGTAGCTATATAATACCATACTACACAGCAATACAAGAACTACTGACATATGATACAATATGAATGAATCTCAAAACATTTTGTGAAGCCAAAGAAGGTAGACACTGAAGAGCTATAGACTTATGATTCTGTTTGTACAAGATGCTAAAAAAGGCAAAGGATAAGGGAGAACCAACTATAAAGAGACTTTGGGATGATGGACGTGCTCTGTGTCATGATTTCAGGTACTACACAAGTATATACATTGCCAAGTTTTGTTAAATTGTATAGTTAAAACTGGTGAATTTAGCTGAGTGGCAGCAGCTCACATCTGTAATCCTAGCTACTCAGGAGGCAGAGATTAGGAGCATCATGGTTCGAAGCCATCCTGGGCAAATAGTTGGAGAGACTCTCTCTCAAAAATACCAGCACAAAAAAGGGCTGGTGGGGTGACTCAAGTGGTAGAGCACCTGCCTAGCAAGTGTGAAGCCCCTGAGTTTGAGCCCCAATACAACCCCCCACAAAAAGGTGTATTTATTGTATGTGAATTATACTTCAATAAGTCTGATCCCCAAATGGGGAGGAAAGGGACAGGAAGGTTGGAAAGGCATTTCAGCACAGAGAAGAGAATACTGGAGCAAGTATCCTAACAGAATATATAAAGTATTTTTGAATGGCAAGTTTTATTTTGTAGTTTTGCTCATTATGGACCCATTACTCATACTGTTAGTTTGAATTATGAAGTAAGTATTTGTAATTTACCTAAAATGAAGATAAAATTAACATATCACTGCAGAATAACCCATCCTATACCTTCTTCTCTTATCTATTTTCCCTCCTTTTTTGTTTTAACAGAAGTCCACATAATGCTTGATGGTCTGTTACCTCCTGACACATATTTTAGATTCAATCCTGTCATGTGTGAAAACATACCACTAGATGAAAGTCGAAATGAAAAGCTGGATCAGTTGCAGTTGGAAGGGTTGAAGTACATAGAAAGAAATGCACAAAAGATGAAAAAAGTTGCAAAAATACTAAGTCAAGAAAAAACAACTCTGCAGAAAATTAATGATTGGATAAAGTTAAAAACCGACATGTATGAAGGCCTTCCATTCTTTTCAAAATTGTGATGTGCTTATGCATATGTTCTGTCATAAGCAGAGGCCTATTCTGAAGATCCACTGAATTCAGTAAGGAATTGTGGGTTTCTACATGAATTGACCTTGAAATACTTATCAATCCTGAGAATCCTGAGAAAGACGGTGCTTACCAGGTTGCACAGCACAGAGGATATGCTTGGTTACAGAATTCACATGAAAATTAGGTTTTTAAGATGTTAATAATTAACTAAGCTTTAGAAATTTTATTATTGTGCTAGTTGGTTTTAGTAGATATTGGTGTGAAATTGTTCAGTATTTGAAAATCTATTAATATATGTGCCAAACAAGAAACTAAAAAATACTATACTTTGTATTTTTCCTTTATCATCATAATCATGTTGAATTTATGTGATCACTGATTTTATTCCATGTGAAAAATCTAATTTCTTTTTACATTTACACCAATGTTTTCACTAAATGCATCCTCAATCTAATACCTTTTACTGTAATATCTAAATAGATTCAGAAAATGGAATTTTCTCTATTAAAATACTTTTACATTTGAAATATGAAAGAACCAGGTTCAGTTTTCTATTTTAAAAATTACTTTAAAAGATAGGTGAATTCCCAGTGAACCACCCTTCTTCCCTGAAATTGCAAGATAGATGCTGTGTGTCAACTTTTCTAGATCTAGCTGTAGCTTATCATTCTCAGTTACAAACTAATCTGAGAAAATATTCCTATTATTAACAAAAATAAACTATTGAAATAAAAATATTGTTTAGAGGCTAATGTCATTCTTAAGCTTTTTGTCATTCATAGTGTTGCTCCCCGTTTCTTTTAACATTTGAATCAACCTATCATTGGTAACAGTTAAAAAATGTTAGGCTTTTTTTAACTTATTAACTTCTTTAACCATCTGGATTTCACAGAAGTTAACACATTGACTGGATACACGTTTTTATGCCAAAAAATTTATCTTTGTTGTGTTATTTCTCTGTCTGCCATGTAAATCCTTACATCATGTTTAGACTTCCCAAGAAAAATGAGACAAAGATAAGTACTGTGCTTTGTACCTATAAGCTGAAGCTTGCCCAGCTGCCCAGGTTGTCCTGATAGTGATTCACAGAGGTGGTGCAGTATGGTTCAGAGCGATGGAGGACATTGAGAGTCTGCATGCTAATCCAGGATCTGCCACACAATCCCTCTGCCTGTGACCTTGAGGAAAGTAGACAGTCTCTCTGAGCTTCCCCCCTATCTGTTTTGAAATGAGGAAAGCTAGCTCTAATATTCTGTAACATCTTAGATTTTAGGCACATAGTAAGTGATTTCTGAGGATAATGTAAAATAGTTCTTTCAGACTACAAATATATACAAACTCTTAAGCAACTAGAATGACTTAAATGTAAGAAAAATACAAATGATTGGAAATTATCTCTGGGCATTCTTTGTAATAAAGCACATTTCAAGTACATGAAGTGGTATTTGTGCAGTTTACATATTTTACCTCATTATACAGTCACTTTCCTAGCTTACTGCAGTCCATCTGTTTTGCAGTTGAACTTCACTCTCTGTCCCTTGTTTGTGCTTGGCCAGTCAGTTTTCCTTTTGAATAGTACAGTACACAAGTAAACTCTGGCCACAGCTTCTTTCTTCATCCACATAGCATGGCACCTTTGTCAGTGTTTTCATCCAGTTTTGTGGGGTACTGGTTTTCCTTTGTTCTTGTGCCCGTTTGTACTTGTAACTGGTTATCTGAAGAACTGTGTAATTCACCTGAGATAACCCTCATTTTTATAATGAGGCCATGCTCTTTTTGTCCAAAAACAACTCAAAAAGAGAATTCTACAAACATATAAGAGAAAGATGAGATGTGAAAGTGAATTTTCAGTCTTACACATATATGTTTGCCTTTCTCAAAGAAGTAGCAAGGAAGATCTGGCATCATGGCACACAGCTGTAATCCCAGCTACTCAAGAGCCCAAAATTGGGAGGGTCATGGTTCAAGGATAGCTTGGACAAAAAATTATTGAAATCCCATCACAACCAGTAAAGCTGGGTATGGTGACATGTGCCTGTCTTACCAGCTATGTGGGAGTTGTAAATAGAACCATCACAGTTCAGGCTGGCCTAGGCAAAAACACAAGATCCTATTAGAAAAATAATTACAGCAAAAAGGGATGGGGGCATGGCTCATGTGGTAGAGCACCCTGAATTCAAATCCCAGTACCACCAAAAAAAATTAACCAGGAAAAAAAATCTTATTTTGTAAAATGTAAATACATTTTCCAACTCAATTATATTAAAAATAGAATAAAATCATTTTGATCCTCAGGCCTTCCTTACTGTCTGTCTTAGAAATCTTTCTGTTGTGAGTGGTGGTGTATTGCAATATTTCTGTTGTGTTCTTGCTGCAGATGTTACTCTTTATTAAGAATAGTACAAGGGAGAGGGAGAATAGTACCTTAGATGGAGTTGCCCCTAGTGGCACAGGGGCAAGATGGGATTTCACCCAGGGTGTGGAGAGCACCCAGGCTCAGTTATAATTACACTGCACTTCTTACCCTCCCATGCCAGGAGAAATAAGATTTCATAGGCATCTTTGGAGAGGGAAGGAAGTCACAAAAAGCCCATGTTCAGTCCGATAGGGGAGAGGGGAATCTTTCAGCTTTGCTTTGGTGATGGGGGGTGGGGGTTCCTTTGGAGCATTTTTCCCCAGCAGCTGGCAACAGCTGCTTTCCCCTTTTACTTAAGATACAGCTTCTCATTGCCAAAGTAGAGACGACCCCTAAAGTCCAAAGCCCAGAATTGTGCCTACCCTACTGTACTCTAGAAATAGTTGAGTCAGTTTGGAGTATTTTACAAGTCTCAGTGCCAGTAGTGTAATCAAACATTTGAGTGCTTATGACTACAGGAAACTGGACCAGACAAAGTGACATTATTAACATTTGATTGTCACAAGGCCAGGTAAATATATTATCCCTTTCTTAGAAAGGAAAGGATTGCCCAAGATACCACAGATAGGATGTGGTAGAGCTAAAACCAGTCTACTTGTAGCCACAACGATATCCTCAGAGTGTCCTTCTCTGGAATATTGTCAAGTGACTTCAAATTCATTTACTTAGTAAAGCTAAATCTGCAAGGTGTTGGAGTAAATTGGTGAAGAAATGTACTCATCCCAGGAAATGTCACCTCAGTCTTCAAGACCTCAGAGTAGGTTTCTAAAAATAAAAATTATTTCAATATTAAATCGAATGGATACTCCTTTATGTCTTTAACATAGTGGTTCTCTGCTAGCAATGGCTTACCCATCTACCCAGAAGGATTTGCAAATCTGTGGGGAAGAGGAGAGGTTGTCTGGGAGAACTAGCATCATTTAACATTTGAAGGGTCAGAATTGGTGAATGTTATCTAATGCACTGGGAATGGGAAAACCCCTCACACTGAAGAGCTCTCCCACCCAAAATGCCACCATTTCTCCCTTTCAGAAACTGAGCTGCTTTATGCTCAAGATTCATGTAACAAATTTCTTCTACAGGAAATTGAATGTGTATCTTGCCCAGAGTTAGGATGCATAAACCATTTGTAAAATTCCACTTTGATTTGAACTCAACAAATTCTTTTTGCATTTGTTGTTGTTTTGTTTGCATGTGTATGTTTGCCAAGTTTAAATACAACTGAACTGTTCACTTAATTTTACTTTTTGAAGGAAGTCTATGCCAATTTCTCTTTCATGACTAGGAAATAGAAAGGAGGGGGGAGCACATTAAAAAACAGTTTGTTCTGTTTCTGGCAGGCACTATGCACCATACAAAAAAGAGTCATAGAGTGCAGATGTCCCTGGGCTAAACTGTTTGCATGTGTTGGTCCAAGGGGTTGATAAATGCATCTCTCAGAAGTCACACTGATTGCTTTGTTCATTATAACCTTTATTCAACTGATGTGAGTGGATTGAAATTCATCACACTCCACGGATCTCCATTATTATTTGGGATACTTTATTAAAAATATATTGACTGCAGTGTTGACTTACCTTCATGATAAAAAGCTTTAACTTTATAGTACTCATTCCTTGCCTCTGAGCAATGTAAATTGCTAAATGTATTTAAAGAGTTCCATCTGATTTAGTATGAACAAGTTTCATAGCCCAAAACTCGTTGAAAGTTCTAGTAATAATTGCAGCTAACACTTATTGCCATCAATCTTCACAGCATCATTTTTATATTATAGCACTGAGGTGATGACAATAGAAAAGTATTTTCTACTGCTTTCTCAATCTCATCCAACAGTATAGACCATGGTATGAAAGTACCTAGAGCAGTGTTTCCAAAATTTGGTACTGTATCTGGAACTGCACATACTATAGAATCCTTTTAGATACTGTATTCTAATCAAATCTACATTACACTTAAATGACTGATTAGTGTTATTTAGGAGATTTTCAAAGACAAGGTAAATGTATGTATTTTATAGAAAACAAAAATAGTCAGTTGGTCCTTGATAGTACTTTTTTTTTTACAGCATATACAACTACTGATTGTGTTTGTAAAAGACAAAGTGATTAACAAAAAAGTCCATCCAATTATCTGAAAAGAAATGAAGGACATAGGATCTTAGATTAATTATATCATATTGTATTCCCAATGCACACTGATCCAAAAAGTACTGTAGCATTTTAATTAAATTGGTCATCAAAGTAAGTTTTTAGAGTGTGAATATAATTAAAAACAACCTGTATCTTACAACATAATATTTAAAAGGAAAAAATGTAAGTGACTAAATGTTCTATGCAAAGATACACATGTTCTTGGGATTCACCTGTATGAATCTTTTGAAGGCAAGGATTTTCTTTTTCATTTTGTGTTGAACAACTGGATCATATTTGGGGAAAAAAGGGTGTGTTTTAGGATAATAAACAGTTATTATGCTTTTGTGTTTATGGTATTATATATAAACACTCTAAGGAATTCTTAAGTCCCAAATTGAAAAGGTTAAAGCCAATGTAATTTATATCTCTCTCTGCCTTTCAGATTTAGTCTTACAAAAACAAGTTTTTTTCTACAGTGCCCACAGAATTGAGTCATTTAAAACTAATTTTTTTCTCAACTGTTGAAGCCACCTTCTTGTAAACCACAGGTGGTATTATTTTGCTAATTTTGAGGGAACATGTTTGGTGTCAGGGTGCAGATAATCCATACACATCTAAACATGCCCTTGAGTCCATTTCCTGTGCTGAATTCTGTGAAAAATGCCCAGTGCTGACACTCAAGACTGTAAAAGCCATGGAACTTTAGACTGTTAATATATAAGGCAAAGTCTTGTTTTTATCTGCAAATCAGATAAAACAGAATTACATGCCTCAAAGGTTTTGGTGAAGTTTAGGTAGTACAGAATTTTTGTAGTGTAGATTTCAGTATAAAGTGGGCTTACACCATTCTCATTTTTTGAGCATGGGAAAATGGTGATGTCCTGCTCTTCAGTCACAGCATCCCATGCTTAGGTGGTGACATGGTCGCTACAAGCCTCATCATCAGTGCCAAGAACAATCAGAGCTCAACTTCAGCCCTCTTGAGGAATTTTTGCAACCACAGAGTTACCTGAAAAAAAAAATCTTGTATGTACAGGAAGGTAAACTCAGCAATCATAAAAACATCCACAAAAGTGATTCCAGTTTTAAAACATGTATGTAAAGCATGAAGCTAAAACTTACATTGCTTTCTTTTTGAAGCCTGAGAGAAAAAGGAGGGAAAATTCTCATTGGGCAGCAATTGGAAT